CCTCTATATGGCACTAATCATAACTACTAATTTTAGGGTTTTTGGTTAGTTATTATGTTTTAAATTTGTTTGGTTATTAACCAAATTGACCCTTTTTTCAAAGGTCAATAATATTTTTTTTAACTGAATGTAAAATGTATTCAAATCAAACATTTTTACCGTGAATGCATCATTGATTTGAGATTGTTTAGAAAAAACAAATTATTTTGAGTTGTTGCTATCGAGTCAAGAGCCACAGCTCCACAACCTCGTCAAAAGCCTCGTCTCCCATGGCTTGGATAGAATTGATCCGGTTTGTAACACTTTTGTTGATGACCTTGATTAAGGATGCATATGTTTACGCTGTTTTTTCATGGCGTCGTTGAGTTTGCTCTCTCCGTAAATGGTACACTGCCAATTGAAAAGCGTACGTACCGGAATAAGTACAAAACGTTACGACTAGATCCCAAGCATCCGTGTATTCAGAACCAAGAAGCTTCGACACAGCTTTTTTCCAAACGTCTCCATAGAAAGTACATTCAAACAACATGTGATTTCAGGATTTTTCTACATTGTTGCAGAGACCACAAACCACTACCTGACTAGACCCCCCAACTTCGCATACGATCTCCACTCGACAAACGATTATGAATAGCAAGCCAGGCGAGAAACCAAATAATTCTTTTATACCATGTCACCGTTGACCTTGCGATTCGTATCAAATTCCAAGTGTTGCGAGTGACAAATCGTTGCTTGTAACTATTTTTCGCATACTCCAATACGAGCAACCGTCACTATCCTTTCTAGCTAATCAGGCTTGGTCAATCGCTTCCTCGACAGATGTAAGTCAACAAGTATCTGTAAATGAATCGCAAGTTTTCTCAAATAACTTGAAATTCAAAAGACCTAATTTCTCTTTAAAACAAAAAAAAAATCGACACACATTAGTCCAAGAGCTATTTGGTGCGTAACCAATGTAAAATACAAACTGCGTTCGAGTATTTTAGTTCATAATATTGGATCCGTATCAGTTATGGGCTTGTGAAATCATTGGAATCTAAAATGTATAATTTAGGTCATATGGCCCATAAAACATATGTTGCATATTTCTCAGGCCAACCACCACATATGTCGGTGAAGTCG